TGTTTTGGTTTAGTTTTGTTTGTCTGGTTTGTGTGTTTGGTTTCCAATACTGCCTCTTTCTCTGGTTTAGAAAAGCTAGTCTAAGGCTACTATTACTAGAAACCATCCCTTTCTCCACTTTGAGTTCACAAGATTTGGGTTTGGCTTGTTTATTTATTCACCCATCTCTGTGCTGGTGTCCTTGGGCCCCACTAAAGCTCCCAGAGCTGATCATGGTGAGAGGAGAAGACTTGGAGCCCCTCACCCTCTTCCTGAGGCTCATTTCCCCCTATAAACTCATGCACAGGAGACCAGCTCCCCAGTCCCACCGCACCTAGTCCTCCTGGTGCAGCGTCCAGCTGAGCCTGGCCACATCCTCTTCTCCCCAGCTAAGGACTGCAGAGCAAGGACAGACAGCAGGTCTCATGTGGCCCCTGCTTGCCTGGTTCCTTAGGTAGCGAGGGTCAGAGAACAGCAAACAAGGAAGTGGCCTCTGCCAGAGTTGGAGACATAGGAGTCATTTGGTTCCTGCTATCCCCTGGGAGCACCTCTATCCCTCTTCATCTCTACCACTTTCAGTTCAGTACTGAATGCAGACACCAACCCAATCCACAGAAGTTATTAAAAGACAAGATGCCTCCGGGAATGAATTAGCAATTCTCACAGTGCATTTGAAGGCTTGAACATTAGTCCAGGAGTCCCTACCTCACCATTCTGAACATTTACCTTGGTTGGTATGGAGTCTACCAGATCGGTAACAAGCTCCAGTCTTCCCATGTCTGCAGGCAGGGAGCTCAGCCCAATCACTCTCATGCCTGGTGCTTAGTATTCTCCCACTCTTTGGATGTTCAGCATCTCTAGGGGAATTTGAAAGGCTTTGTCTTGTCAGCAATAATGGGGACGTGCAGCGTCAGAATATGAATGACTCAAGTCTTCTATTGTGGGCTCTCTGAATTTCTACCATCATCAAGAATTTTGATTAAAAAAAAAACAGAAGCTGATACAGAAAGAAATATTTGCAAAAAACCTTTGTACAAATGACTGGTTTCATTCACATAGTTGGGGCCTTTGGCATCAAAATGTCTGACAATTAATCTTGAGCCAAGCTAAACACTTGGTTGATGTACATGTTAAATTTCCATGGGATTGAAGCCAATTCTCTTGAACAGAGCAAATTTTAACCAATGTATTTTTTTCTATGAAACTTCTGAAAGATACTTGGTTGAAGTCTCCCTTAATAGCAGAGGCAGGGCTGACTATTAAAGGTGTTGTGGATTATAGGAAGCATTCATCTTCTGGACTGTTTTTCTGTTCTCAGAGTATCTGCAAGTTTATGGCTTTTCTCCTCTCCATGTCATGCAAAATGTGACTTGCTCCACATAAAATTAACTAACGTAAGACACCAAAATGCTTTGTGTACTCAACGCAAACTACTTAGATGTGGACTCTTACAGGAGACCAAGCTGTTAATTATACCCAAGTTTGACTGTGAGCTTGACAATGCAGAGCTATGCATACACAGGAGGGTGGAGGACAATTGCTGGAAAAGACCATCCTGGTGTGCACAAAGTGCACAAAGTTAAAACTGTGTGAAGAACCCAGGGAACCAATGAAGAGTCTTGTTGCTCCTTACTAATAAAAATGAGGATTTTTATTTCTCCAGTCGGGATTCCAACATTGTTATCTTAGTGGTATTCAAAGTATCTGAACCCTCCTGGATGCCAGGCTCTGTGGGTGGAGGACCGGAAATGCAAAGTAGTTTTGGCCCAGGCACAAAAATGTGAGCTACAACAGAAAACACTTTGTGGAATGTGCTCCAGGATTTTTACACTGACTGGGACATGACATGTGTTGGCCATGAGTCCTGCACCTCCATGGAGTTTGGTGCATCAGGACACTTTGGATCTTAAGGGACTAAGTCCTAGTGAGCTGCTTTACACAAGGACATGAATGAGCTGGAAAGATGGTGGGTGGCTTGGCAGGGGGAGGAAAAGCCTGGTCACTGCCTACCCCACTGCTCTGTGACTTCGTCCCCTCCAACCCCTCCATCCCTGCAGATGCCCCACGGGACGCTGACACAGCCTCCAACAGCCCTTGAACTCCCCTTGTTCAGCCTTGGCCCCAGTGAGCCCTGCTGCCACTGACATGGGTCCAGCTGTCCCCTCTGGGTTGGCCTTTGAGTTCTGGACAGCAGGTCATGGGGAGGGGTGCGCACATGTGCAGTAGAGGGAGGAAGGGACTCCAGTGCATACATGTGAGCAGACAGAGCCTGGAACGTGGGTGTTCCTCTTCCTTTGTGCCATCACCCTTTTCTGCTGGACTAGATTTCTGTGCCCTTTGACCCCTTATCATTCTGGGTGGGCATTGCTAAATAGCTGTGTGGCTCAGCTTTCTGCCTGATGTGACTGATGTAGGAGGAGAAGAGGTTTATTTTGGCTCAGTTTCAGAGGCTTCAGTGCTGGTCTCTTGGTTCTGTGGCTCTTAGGCCTGTGGTGAGGCAGCACATCAGGGCAGGAGTGTCACCTGAGGAAATTAGTCATCACTCTGTGTCAGCTGGGAAACAGGGTGGGCCCACCCCTCCACCCCTCCACCCCTCCACCCCTATGACTTCACTTCTTCCCACTAGGACCCACCTTTTAAGGGTGTCATCAGCTCCCAACAGCAGCATTGAATGGGGACTGAGCCTTCAACATGCGGGCTGTGGAGGTCACTTATCCAAACCACAGCACTGGTTTAAACCAAATCACAGCAAGCAATGCTCTGCCACACCTACAATTTTCTCCACCATGGAATGAGAGATTGAGCTTTGTGGTCTGGGTTGTATGGTTTCCTACCTTCTTCTAAGGCACAGATACAGGAATATGTGTAGTTAAACCAGACTGCCCATTTCTGCACCTTGGATTCCCTAACAGCACCCTGCACACTTGCAGTCCTGGGGCGTTACTAAGTTAGATGTCTGGGGAGACTGCTCCTCAACGCGCAGAACTGGAAACCAGAGCAACTGCTGGAGACCCAGTGTCCTGGGCAGGAATAGGACCAGTGGTTGATTGCAGGAATAAAGAAGACTGTGCCCAGGTACCAGAGTGGGAGCCTCTCTTCTGGGGCTGATCACTGTGGGCTGGAGCTGTGAGTGTGGCCTCGAAATCCAGCAGGAGGCTGCATGTGTGTGCAGCTTGCCTGCCTATGTGACGTGGAAATTGAATTCCTTTGGTTCAATGTTCTTGTGACATTAAACTATACATTGACACAAAATACAGTTTTAAAACACACCAAGAATGCTACAAAGAGGTAAGATGGCACTCATCAAACTTGACCCTGTCCAGGAAGTACTAGTTTCTAGATAAGGGGACCACAGCTAGGAGCGCCAGGCCATGTCTGAGCCAGGCACTGGGCTGGATTCTCACCATGGTGACAAGGTTGGCTAGGACCCATCCTCTGGGCTCTGAGGGTTGGGCTGCTGTGCCCTGACCTCCACTGGGTCCCCTCGTCCCAGAATGAAGGGATTTGGGATAAGAGAAGGAGCTGAATGGAGTCTTTAGGGTCTTCTCAGCTTTCAGTACCTGTGGTAAAAATGCTGAAAAGTGAAGTTTGGAAGAGGCCAGAAACTGGCCTCATAAAAGTCTACTGGTTCCAACAGCATCTTCACAGGTCACCAAGAACCTGGTGGGCAGACAGAGGTCACTCCCCATAAGCCTCTGTGGCCGCCTCCAGGAACCATAGCTGGAGTTAAAACTCAGACTCACCAATGTCTCTGTCTGCCCCAGGGTCCTGGACATAGAAACCTGAGGTCCTACTCTGCCCCAGGGTCCTGGGCATGGGCATAGGGGGTCCCTGTCTGCCCGGGGGTCCTGGGCACAGGTATTGAGGTCCCTGTCTGGCCCTGGGTCCTGGGCACTTCTGTTCAAGGTCTGTTCACTGAATCCCTGTGCCTACAGCCTGTACAGTAAGGACTTTGTGCTTCTCAATACTTTTTCAGATGGAAAAACACTTTCCCTGTTTTTTCTGCCTTTGGCTTCAATCAGTTATTTCAAATAGCAAAAGCTGTTAAAATTCCAATATGGGAATTGGTTAACCATCAGGACCTTCCTTGTGGCTGACCTGTGCTTTGGCCAGGGTCTGGGCCAGCCGCTCACACCCTTTCCTCAAGATGGTCTTTCCTTATAGCAGCGGCAAGGTGTTAGCACGCACACTTAGCCTTTCCTAATATCAAACCTGGAACAACAAAACATCTTAAGGAGCTCAGTTCCACAACATCTGTGTGACCACAGTTCAACTCCCTTCCTGATAGCACAGGGATCCACTCACCAACTGGGTATGGTGTTGGTTTGATGAGGTCATTAAAAAAGAGACCAAATAATGGAGCCCAAGATCTTCAAATCCCAGGAGAAAGAAGAATCTACCCGCAAATGAACCTGACATGGAAGAGGACACTGGGAGCATGGAAGGGGTGCAGGGATTCAGAGGACAGGGTGCTGGCCCAGGGGAGTTGGCAGCTCCCAGGAGCTGCAATCCTTTTCAAGTCTGCAAAGCTTAGCAATCTGAAGAGACCCATGCCTGCCCTGCACAGGAGGCCTGCCGGTCCCCCAGTGAGAGCTGGAGCAGTTTAGAGGTGGCAGCTGGTGAGTCCCAGCCTTTCCTTGGGGAGAGGAAAGAGGCTTCTGCTCAAGAGCATGCCACACGGCCTTTAGAGTCCTCTGTAGGCGGCCAGGCCTGGCCCGGAGTGGGCAGCTTGCTCCTCTCCGCCTCCACCCACTTCGCTTCTGTGTGCTGGGCGCGTGGTGGGGACCAGGCTCCCATGGAGATCCGAGCGCATTGTGAACCTTGGTCCTCAGCCCGCGGCCCCCAGGGTTCTGGCTTCTCCAAGGCTTTTCCATGGCAGTGGTTTGGGCTGAGCTGTTTTCCTGGACTGCAGCTCCGGACCCAGACTGTGGAGCTTTTCATACACCATGAAGTCCAGCGCTGCCAAAGCCACCTTAGCACGGCTCAGGAATGAAGGAAATTCCAGAGTGGAACCTGCATAGCCGCCTGCAGAAGGGTGAGCTGGAGACAGGGGAAGCAGGGCTGTCCTGGGGGGCTCCCTTCCTCCCCGAGGCTGCTCCCCTCTCCTAGGTTCCCCTTCTGCTCCCCAACCCCTCAGCCCCTGCCAGGCCGAAACCGCTTGCCCTCCCCCTGCTCTTGGGTTCCCGCGCCCTGGCGCGCACAGGCCCCTGGATCCCTGGCCTGTCGCCCGCCGCCGGCCCCGCCCCCGCCCCCGGCAAGGACATTGCCTCCCGCGCCAGTGCGGGCCTCATCCGTCTGTCCCCCTAGTCTTGCTCCTTGTCCTGCCCCATGGCTGCTTCCTCCGCTCGGCCCTCTGTGCTGGCCCTGAGTGGGCTGGCACTGCTCCTGCTCCTGTGCCTCGGTCCAGGTGAGTGGGCGATGCAGGCTGAGGGCACCGGTTGGCAGAGGGGCAATGGGGCTCTGGGTCTGGGGTTGCCCTCGCAGGGCCCTTGGGCAGGCGGAGGAGGGTCAGGGGCCACTTGGTCGGAGAGGGACAGGGATTCGGGTGGAATGTACAAGACCTACAGGGAGCTCTGTTTCCGTGCTTTGCTTATCAGAGTAGGTGTGGAGAACAAAGTGCAGTTTGAGGGGCTGCGGTAAAGCAGTGGGGTCCCGGGGGTTTCATGCTGATGGCAGCCACAGAGGTAGGTGGAGCTGACAGCTTTTCCCAGCACACAACCTCCTCCTCTTTCTCTCGTCTAAGACACGCATGGGAATGACTCCCGTGGACATGGGCTATAAGCCATGCATTTTCAGCAGTCATATTTTATTTAATTCATGCCCAGAACTTAGGAGTCATTTACAATAGAGTCATTATCACATTGAATGTATGTGAAAGTCTTTTGACCACAAAAGGGAAAATCTTTGTTTGATCCAGAACTGGCTCCTTACCCCAAGCATTGAATGCAGGAAATGAGCACAGTTCTTGCTTCGGCAGCACATATACTAAAATAGGAAATGAGCACAGCCCCCTTGAGCAGCCAGTAACGTTAGCACTTCGGGAGGGGCATCTTGCAGTTCTGTCTGCCACTGCCTGGAGACCTAACTCCACCTAGCTGGATTTGGTGAATTGGGAGGCACTTATTGTCACAGCCAGGAAGTAATAACAGATGACATTGGGATAAAAAATCCCTATTACAAGAAATACATCTCAGCCATTCTCCCATTCTCTATTCCTTGCTTCTAATGGGGTTGGTGTGGGGACCAACTGCCTGTGTTACTGTGCAGTCTGGGGTGTGTGGGGGCACAGCAGGGACACTCCCAGCCCTCATGTGAGATGCACCCTGCCGCTGGTCAGTGACTGGGTTCAGCAGTTGTGACACAACTTTGCTGCCTGGAGCCACAGCCTGGGAGGTACCTAAACACAGGGTCTGGTTAACGGCAGCCCAGGCACCAGGCATTAACTGCTAAGCGCTTCCACAGAAGGTAGACAGGGAGAGCAGCGCTTGATTGCATGTGAGCTGCTCTGAATGGTGTTTGGAGGAGGTGACAAATGTGACGATATCCGTGAAACCCATCATTAGTGCTGAAGAACGCACCTGTGGCCTTGGCAATGATTTCCATAGGTGTCTTCAAGGGGTTTAGGTTGGAACCCAGGCTGCGAGGGGCAGTCCCTGCCCATCTGATAAGCAGTCCTCTCTGAGCAGCTCAGTCTGGCTGTGTGCATTTGGGCTCACTGCCTCAGAGACTCCTGATGAGGTCCTCTTGGGGCCACTTATTCTTCTCTGGTGGCTGGCAGGCATGGAGTACATCACTTCTTGTTCTGATCTGTGGCCCAGCGGCCTTTCACAGTAACTCCTTGCAGAAGAGAAGTTTCATTTCTCTGTAAGTTTTCCCCCTATCACACATGCACAGGCTCTGGATACTCTTTCCTGGAAATGCCAACTTTTCCATGACCTTCTCCAGGTGAGAATTGGGAACTGAACCACAGCACTGGAGGGGCCCAGCCAGAGTGGTGACAGCAGGCAGGACGCTGCTCCTTCCTTAGAGAAGTTGCCCTTTGCCACTGCAGCCTAACATAGCCAGGCTTCCCAAACAAACTTGTCGCCTTAGCCAGGCCTGGTGCAGATGTTGAAAACTGTCAGCTGCTGTCCACTGCACTAATATCTTAGCTCTTGGTCCAGTGGCCACCCAGCCCTCCTGTGCAAGACATGAGGACAGGGTCCCTCTGTCCCCTGGCCTCCATCATGGTCCCTATAAGGCAGCCACCTGTAACCATCCCAGCTGGAACTCTCCAGACTGAAGGAGGTGCTGTTGTTCATTTATGGGGACAAGTGGTTTAAACTGAGAGAGTCAAAGTGTGGCTGCCTGCTGCTTCCAGGAGTCTGGGGGGCTTTCTGTCCCTCTTGAGGCTGCGAGTGCTCCAAGGAGCAGCTACAGGGAACACTGGGATCCCAGTGGATTGCGCCTAGGGACCACGGGCTCTGTGAATGACGTGGCTCAGAGATGTTCAGATTTAACTTCTGTAAAGCCCTGCACCTAATCAAACACACCCACAGGCAGTGTTCTGCTCGGAGCAGCCATTTGGTGACACTTGAGCATGGATATTGTTTTGTTCTCCCTAACTATGTAGTCAGTTATTTAAACAGAGATTCTTTTTTCAAAAAACAAAACAAAACATTTTTTCTACCTTCGAGCTCCACAGCAGCCCACAGCAGGGATTTCTAATCTTATTAGGATCACAGACACTTCTGAGAGTCTGGCACAAGCTGTGGCTCCTGTTCCCAGAAATATGTCCCTTTGCAGATTCGAACAGTTTTCTGTTTGTCCTTTCCCAGAGCCCTGGAGTTGTCTGAGGCCTGAGAGGCCCAGAACCCACCAGGAAGGCAGACACCACCACCACGGCTCCAGCTCCCAACCATGAATGTGCTCTGCCCAGGAGCTGGGCCTTCTCCAGGGCATTGGGTCCACCCTGCTCGGACAAGCCTTGTGCCCCTAGGCAGCAGTCAGGGGTCACAGGCTTCAGTGTGGTCCCCCACCAACCCATGTGGGGAGGGTGTGCTTCCAGCCAGGCATTTGGTGAAAATGGTCAAGCTGGTTAATAATTTTAACAACTGAACAAATATAACACAAATGATTCCCAGTCATGCCTGGTTACAGGACGATCGGAGCAGGCTATCCCATGGCCTGTGCGTTCATGAGCCAGGGGTGTGGCTTGGCTGGGGTAGCAGAAGTTCCACCCTTGCCCTCCCAGTCGTTGGGTTTAGAGCCCGCCCTAAATCCAGGATGATATCATCTTGAGATTCATAACAATTGGAACCCGAAAAGACCTTGTTTCCAAATAAGCTCACATTTTTAGGTTCTGGTGGATGTGATACTGAGGAGACATTACTGGACCCATTTTACCAGGAAGGGATGTGACGGATGGCTGGGCCTCACGGGAGGACATCAGGGCTAAAGGAAGAATGTAGCTTTTAGTTCCCCCATCAGCCATAGGCACTGTCACCAGGGTTAGGCACAGGCACCCCAGATTGGTTTCCCCACAGGACAAGGAGGCAGCAAGCAGGAAGCTCGGCAGTGCACCTGGTTCCCAGGCAAGGCAGGGCCTGCTGCTCTCACCACACCAATTGCTGTGTTTGACAGTTCAAGGTTACAGGTGACTCTGAAGCTGGTTTCTGCTTTCATTCCTTTAGGTGGCATAAGTGGAAATAAACTCAAGCGGATGCTGCAGGAAGGAGAAGGTAAACACCACTCGCCCATAAGGGATCCGTTCTTACCTGGATGGAAAGGAAACGGCAATAGCTTTGTGCTCACTGCAGGTTGTGTTTAGAAAATCAAAAATATCTCAGTGTGCCCTTTATGCTCATGAAACCTGCCAGGAGTGTAGGCATGGAGCTGTATGGCTGTGCTGCCCTGGGAATCCAGCCAGCTCTGGGAAGGGCATGCACATAGCCAAGCCTCTGCTGCAGACCTGCTGTGAACGTGCTCCTGAGATGCAGTGGTAGGAGCCCTGCATGTCATAGAAACAGATGTCCTCGGGTTGTGGTACTGGTCCTGGGCTGCCACCACCAGCTCAGTCTGGTGGATCCTCGGTGTGGTCTCATGCATGTCACTTCCGCTCACAGCTGCACCTTCCTTAGTGGCAGTGGCATTAAGTTCCCCCGAAACTAAGGCATGTGGCTGCACTGCAGGTGACTGTTGAACATTCCTTCTCCCTCCTGCTTGGTAGGGTCTTGTAGGCTGAAGCCTTTGCTTTGTGGCTCCCCAGGGTGCCCAGAGCTCAGGGAGCTTCCCTGGGGGTAGCAAGTTCCCAGGTGAGCACCCAGCATCCTCCCAGCAGCTCCAGCTGCCCACAGTCCACCCCGACCTCAGGGGTGGCCAGGAGGGTCCCCTCCCTGGGTTGAGACACTCAGACTGAATGACTCCTTGCAGGACCATCCTGTCACAGTGGAGGTAATCATGACTCATGGGTGTGTAGCCCTCAGTCTTTACTCAGGTCAAGAGAAGACACTCACATGGAGCACCTGCTGTATACCAAACTGGGCAACAGCCCCCAAAGGATTTGTAAAAAGCAAACCCTTCTGGTGTTTCTCTGTGTGACATACAGAATCCTCAGTGCTTCAGTTTCTCTACCCTGTGTGTTCTTCACAGTATCACTGAGTCAGGGACCATCATAGCCTTTATACATGAGGGACAGAGGCTCAGACCACAGCAGAGCAAGTCCAAGAGCACAGCTGCATCCCCTGAGAACCTCCTTCGGAAGTGGCACTGAGTAGTCAATACGCAGTGGCAGGAAGGTTCAGAAGGTGGCAGAATCAAAGCCGGGGGGTCAGCACCCTCGAGGCTTGGCACAATCAGTATGGAGCCTGGGGAACTGTGTGCTTATCATCTGCCTCTGTGAATGCACCCCAGATGCATGAGTGGCAGTCCATGTCTCCCTCTGCTCTTGAATGCACAGACCAAGGGGCTGGCCATCAGCCCCTGGTGTGGCAGGTGAGTGATGTGCAGGGTGAGTCGACTGTCCCTGCTCCCTGAGAACCTAGGAGCTGATGATTAACACGTGCTGATTAAATGCGCTATTTGTGCATTGCACACAGATCGGGACACCAGCTGACCAGGAGTGTGGGAACCGATGCCAGGACCATCCTACAGTGGTGGGCAGGTGGGGCAGGCATGTGGGAAGGTGATTTCACTCCAATAAGAAACCTCATTTGCAAGTGTGGTGGGCACACCTGTAATTCCAGCATGCTGGGAGGCTGAGGCAGGAGGATCAGTTCTAGCCTAGCCTGGGCAACATAGCAAGACCTTGTCTCAAAATAAAAATTTTAAAAAAGGAAGGGCTGGGGATGTAGCTCAGTGCAAAGGCCCTGGGTTCAGTCCCCAGTACCAAAAAAATAAAAATTAAAATTAAAAGGAAAAAGAAATATCATTCTTCAGGGTAAAGGGGACAGGGAGGTTGGCCAGCAGGCACCAGATGAAGGTGCATGGAGGATGAAGTTCTAATCATCCTGTGTACTTGGGGATGGGGGTTGTCATTGCAGCCCCTGCTCCAACCAGGGCAGATGTGGCTGTGGGCGAGAACAAAGCCAAACAGTTCCTGGGCAGTTTGAGACGCCAGCGGCGGCAGCTGTGGGACCGGACACGGCCCGAGGTGCAGCAGTGGTACCAGCAGTTCCTCTACATGGGCTTCGATGAGGCGGTGGGTCCCTCCTGTGGGGCCTGGGCTGTGGGGCTGGTGGGGGACATGGACAGTGCGGCTTTGCTGGTTGCTGGAGTCTGTTTTCTGTAGCTCTTTCAAAAGCCCCCTGAGCCCATGGTTCTGGAGGCCCAAGGGCATGCGTGACTCCAGTGTGTGCTCACTCACCTGGTGAGAGCCTTGTGGTGCATGGTGTCAAAGTAGCACAGGAGGTTACAGGGCAGGACAGGAAGGTACCTGCAGCTGCTCTCTACCGATCCACTCTCAGGGGACCCCCCACCCCCACCCCCAGAGACCCGAATCCCTCCCTTCCCAGGGAAAAGCCAAGACCTTGGAACCTTACGACCTCACATCAGGCTCCAGACATTAAAGGCCCCACTGCCTTAGCTTGGCCATGCAGGAGACCCCACAGGCGGGGACCCAACACCTATCTACACCACAGCACTGTCATTCGAGTGTTGTCCCAGCACGGGACCCCACTACTCACTATGTGAGGCTTTTGTGACAGTCTTGTTTCCCTATGAGCACGTTTAAGCAAGCTGTGTGGGTTGATTGGGCTTCCTTCAAATAACTCACCCCCTCTACAAAATACAGCATCAGCTTTACGTCAGAAACATGAGCAACAAGAGATAGGCACACAGCCCCCTGGAGGCAGAGGAAAGGGACAAGACACAGCCTGTGGGGAGAGCCAGGTCTTTGCAGATATTTGAGGAAGTTGTCAATATCCTGTAAGGATGGGGTGGTTTGTAGTTTTGGGGCCTAGAGTGCTTGAACCCCACAAAGGAAGAGGAAAGGATGCTTGTCATCCCAGATCCCAGCTGGGTGCGGTGCTAGAGAAGTGGGAAGTGGGGCTAGAGGCCAGTTCTGAGATGCAGGGTGTGTCCTCTGGAGCAGAGGACTCTTGCAGCAGCAGAGCCTGCAGTGGGAGTGCTTACCTGGGTGCTGTGCAGGCAGCCCTGCGGGAAGGGGGAAGGTGAAATCCCTAGCCCGGTCATTTCCACACTACATAAATGCAGTTCTGTGGCTGTGTCATAATTCCCTACCAGGCCAAGCCACTGAACATTTGATTTCTCCCCAGATGTTTTTTGTTTCTTGAATTTGTTTTCTCTTTCATTGTGCAAAAAGCTAGACACTAACTACAAAACTCTGTGCCAGGCCTGGCCCTGAGTCCTTATATGAGTGAACTTGATTAACATTTACAGCCCCAAGGACATGCACATGAGGTTTCTGTGTTCCTGGCCCACTGGGGTCTGTGTTCTGCCCTGGGAGTGAATGTACAAAGCTGGATTCTTGCTGAAGGGTCTGCCAGGTTCATCGGGGAGCATAAACAGGGCAGGTGGGCTCCCATTCTAGACTCCACTGTAGCATCTGGGGTTTGAAATATTTAAACCATATTTACTGGGGAGATGAGATGCCCTCCCACTCTCTGTGATTTGTGTGTCTTTGATGACCATCACTGAAATGGATATGAAGAGTTTGACATGGGGAAATGGCTAAAATACTGTCTGCTAGCAAACCAGAGACAGATGCGGATCAAAGAAGGTTATCATGCTTATGTGTGTGTCACAAAGAGTAGCAGCAAGTGTGTCCAAATGTCACCAGCACTGATCGTCGGTCCTGGGATGTGTGATCCCTCATTTTCCTTGCCCCCATCTTATATGTCTGTGTAAGTCTATCTTCTTTCTTTTCCCCCTTTGGCACTGAGGATTGAATCCAGAGCCTTTGCTCTGAGCAACATCCCTAGCTCCCCTTCCCCTTTTTCATTTTACATTTTGAGATGGGGTCTCACTAAATTGCTCAATTTCCCAGGCTGGGTTGGAACGTGTGATCTTCCTGCCTCAGCTTCCCAGAATGCTGGATTACAGGTGTGTAACACCAAGCCCAACTTCCGTGAAACTTATTGAAACATGCATTTTAAGCAAAACCTTCAAATAAGTTTATGAAGTCAGAAATCTCAAGGAATAAGATTATTTCACCTTAACCAAAAAAAAGTGGTACTGTGAGCAAGGCCAGGCTGGGGACTTTGGAGGCTACCAGGTCTGGGGTCCTCCAGGCAGAGGCTGAGTGAGGACTCAGAGGACAGCAAGGCTGAGACCCTGCTCTTCCCTGCTGTGGCCACAGGGCCATGACCACAACAACAGGCACATCTCAGTCTGGGAAGCAATACAGCTAGAACTCAGGGCCAGGCTTGCACTGAGCTTGGGACATTCGCGCTGTTCTGAGTCAGAAACCCGAGCTGAAGGACGTGAGTCAGGAGCCATCTGGACGAGTCCTAGGCAGCCCTGCTGCATAAAGTGGATTCTGGAGACACAACCTCCAGAAAAGTCACCTGGAGGCGGCTCTCAGCCCCAGCTCACACCTGGAGAGGAGGTCCCGCAGCCCAAACTGCCTGCCTTTGCCTCACCTGAGCATGGATGCCTGCAGGTCCCTGGAAGCTCTCTGTGCACTGTCACCTTTATTTATTTGTTTTATTTATCTTTTTTTTGGTACCAGGGATCAAACTTGGGACCTTGCACTTGCAAGATGGCTGCGGCACCACTGAGCTAAATCCCCACCTTTAAAAACAGACTCCCAGTGGAGGCCAGGTGCCCACACCGGAGACCTGGCTGGGAGTGGAGCTCAGTGGTAGAGCATGTGCCTAGAGTGCATGAGGGCCTGGGCTTGATCCTCAACACCACTGGAAAAGAAAAGAAAAGAAAAAGAAGGTGGGAGTGGTGGAGAATGCCTGTAATCCAAGCACTCAGGAGGCTGAGGCAGGAGGATCACTGAGTTTGAGGCCAGCCTGGGCTATACAGTGAGTTCAAAACCAGCCTGAAATATAGCAAGACCCTGTCTCAATAAACAAAAAATCAAACCAAACCAAACCCTGAAGATCACCTCATCCCTGTCGCACTCCCCTCCCTTCTGTTACAATAACTGCAGTGGTCTTCTTTCCTGTTTGTCCCTAAGGCTTCTGGGAAGTGGGGACTCTAGGCTCCCCACGCCCCCCATGTCTGGCACAGGGCCTGACCTTGCACAGTGAGAGACATACTACCTACCCAGGAGCATGGTGCGACAGTCACTGTCAGAGGCGTCCCAGAGCCTGCCCTGGCTCTCTCTCAGATGCCAGTGCTTTTATGCACCTACTGTGTGCCACACAGAACTCAGGCACAGCAAGGGTTAGGAAGCTGTGTGCCCCTTGAGATGAGGACAGTGTCCGAGTCAGGCTGAGCCCTCACTGGCCTAGGCAGTGTCTGCTTTGTTTTCATCAGAATGTTTGGGACTTCAGCAGTGCAGAAGTCTCCAGAGCTGCAGGCCAAGACTTCCTCAGGTGGAAGGGCTCTGGCCATACCCTTCAGCTGGGTTTACTGACCTCAGGGCAGGAGAACATCTTAGAGAATTATTCACAGTGAGCACTGAAGACAAACCAGCCATAACAGCTGGAGGCAGGTGGGACTGGGGGGAGTGTGCACCTTAAAATATATTCCCACCAATCTCTCCCTCCTCCAGAAATTCGAAGATGACATCATTTACTGGCTAAACAGAGACAGGAATGGACATGACTACTATGGCGATTACTACCAACATCACTACGATGAAGATGCAGCCATCGGTCCCCAGAGCCCCGACAGCTTCAGACACGGGGCCAGTGTCAACTACGATGACTACTAATAGTCCCTGGCTGCACAGTCCCCAGGAAGCTGAGTCCTGCCCTTCAGGGTCCTCCAGGCCCCCTCAATGGGGCTTCCCTTGGGCTTCACGTCTGTGCCCTTCACCCCACTCTGTGGAACCAGAGAGCTTAAGCAAAGAATGTAGTGCCAGCGCCTAACCATGTAGCTCATCTAAACTTACAAATAAAAGCATTTTCTTAAAGGAAATGTCTCTGAATTCATTTGGAAAGAGACGAAGCTGGTAGTGTTTCTTGCCACCTTGCTGTTTTGAGGTTGAAGCACTGTCTGGGGCCCTCTACCCATGAGCATCCCAGGGACCCCCAAAACCACCACCCAGGCAGACTGTGCACATGGAGCATGTGGTCTTCAGTTTGTTAAAGTACATCTGCCCTAAAAGCAAAATATGCATTTGGCAAGGTAAAGGGGTGAGAAGGAGCTGCAGTCTCCAGCCAGGTGTAGCATGGAGGATGCAGTGGCTGCAAGGTGTCTGAGGGTTTTCTGGGTTCCAGCCCCACCTGGTAAATGCTGTCACACAGAGGGTGAGGATCAATGGGAAGGAACCTGAGGTTCAGCTGATTTCAGACCTCGCTCATCTAAACATTAAAAATAAAACTTTGTTCCCTGAACTCCAGAAGGATATGAGAATACACTTGGCATGTTGGGGATTTAGCTCAGTGGTTCCAGGTTCTGCCTCACAAGCGCAAGGTCTTGAGTTCAATCCTTGGTATCAAAACAAACAAAAAGAACAATACACTAGGCATTGTAGGGGAGGGTGGGAGGTTATGGTCTTCCCAAAACATGCTCAGACCCACAGAGGGCAGCAGCTTGGACCCCGGGAAGGGCAATGAAAGCCTTCTGCTCTTTTCTTCAGGAAAACCTAATTCATGTCACACACACCAGCTGTGAAACACATCTTCACTCACAGACCCTGGGTGCTGAATAACCTGGGTGTGCTGGGGAGCAAAGCTTGGGAATAGCAGTTTACAGCCAATTGCACACATGTCCTCCTGCTTCCTTCTTGGGCATCCTTAGGACTTTTGTAAGAATTTGTGAAAAAATATGCATGACCTAAAATTCACCGTGGTGACCATGTTTAGGTGCATAGCTCAGTGGCATAAAGAAGGATCACGCTGCCATGCAGCTGCACAGCTTTTCTACCATCCCAGACCAAGCACTGCCCTCTAAGCTCCAGCTCCACAGGCCCCTGTCCCATTCTACCTGGGCTGTGTGACTCCGACCCCTCCACAACCCTCGCTTTCCTGGTTCCGCAGTGCCTGTCCTCCTGCAAGTGCCTCCTTCCACTCAGCATGGTTGGTCAGGCTCATCCTGCAGCAGCAGCAGCAGTCAGTTTCCTCCCTCTCCAGGGCAGAATAATACTCCTCAGTGTGTCTGTCCCTGTCTGTGTGTCTGGGGTTTCCCCTTGGCTGTCATGAATGGCGCTGATGTGAGTCTGGCATGAGTGTCCCTTTGTGCCCGGGCCTTCTATTCTCCTTGCAGCTGCTGGGTCCTGGGGTCATTCTGTGTATCGCTTATGCCACGCGGTTTCCCACACTTCTACCCATACAGCATAGGGTGGTGGTGTTGGCTTGAACCATGTGGGGGGTGCTCAGGAGAGGGGGGGAATGAGGGACACCTCTGCTATCTTCCTGGTCCTCAGGGTGAGCTTGTTATTTCCCCCAACTCTTTTTGCTTAATGTTTTTTGTGGATTTCTCCAAAAAATAGAACCAACAGAAAAAAATTGTGTGTGTGCACATGCATGTGTGCATGTGTGGGGATGTGCATGTGTGTGTGTGGGCATGTGTGCATATTAGCCTGGCTTTGTCTGTTGCTGCAGAGCAGGGAGCTGTCAGGAGGCTCAGCCCGAGGTGGGGAGGCTGGATGCACCCTGTCCCGGGTGGAGGCTGGAGAGCCCCACGAGTCCGCTGTGTGAGTCCGGTAGTCCTGAGGCCAAAGCACCAGAGTCTGCCATGCAGAGCCGCAGTGGCAGAAGCTGGGCACCTGCAGCATGAAGGCCAAGGGTGGGCTGGGAGCTGGCCTTCCGCCCTCCTGCTCCACCCAGCCCCAGCCTGGGGACAACGTCACCACACTCAAGGCGGGTCCCTCATACTTCATGGCCATGGAACAGTAGGGGAAATGCCCTGTACACACCTTGGAATCAATCAGCTGTGGCTGCTGAGTCCAGTCAAGGTGACACACAGCGAGCCACCATGGTGCCCTTTTGCAAGCTAAGGAAATCTCTTTCTAAAAATATACTAAGAAATTTTTATGTCATATCTGGCTCTTAAATTCTATGTTTTATTTGTTGAGATAACTTTGCCTAATAAGTCAATATGAATTTTTAAAACAATTATTCTAGTATTAATCAACTACTTAAATCTATCACCTCTGTTTCTGGAGTGGACCTCACTTGGTCATGTCATGTCACCTCTTTACTCACAGATGAATCTGGCTGAGTTCTGTGGTTGAGTCTTTGCATCTACACCCAAAGACTGCCCTGCAGCTGGCGTTCTGACTTGGTCCCTGTGGGTCCAAGGCTCAAGGTGACACCAGCCTCCTAGAACAAGCTGGAATGTATGTCTAGCCGTCTATGTGTACAAATTCTAAGAATGGAGTTGTCAGCTTCCTAAATGCTTAGGATCACGCAGCAGCAAAGGATCTGCATATACGGTTTTCACCAAGGGCAATACCCTCACTACCAACTGCTTTTCACAGTTAAAGGGTGAGTCTGATTTTTCATTTCTCTTTCAATCTGGTTTGCTTTCTTCTGCCTTTCCAGGGAGGCATGCACAATAGCAAGGTTTTTGCAGAATTAAGAGCTGCTTTTAGAGCTCGCTTATCTGTTATTCTCTGTGTCTGTAGCTCTATTCTTTTTTCCATTCCACTTACATTTTTAGAAAACACAACAAGGGGCTGTTTATCTGGTGTTTTAATTCCCTTTCTTCTACTTCTAAGGGTCTTGGATTTAATTAGATCATAACTCTCTTTTGAGCCTTCTAATTATTTTTTTGAAGGCAAACACTTAAGGCTCCAAATATTGCATCTCAGGAGTTTGATATGAAAAATTAGAAGGCGAAATCTTCTAATTTTAGTCACAATTTCTCCTTTGACCTCTGAGTTGGTTATATGTATTATTAAACTTCCAAGAGAATGGATCTTTCTAATTAACTTCCTGGCTTTGTTTTCTAGTTTCACTCCACTGTGGTAAGCAGTGTGGTTGGGCAGATCCCAGGCTTTGGGGTGCCTGGTGGCCAGGGTATGTTTGGGGTATCCCCCCAGTAACTCGTCCATGTGTGCCTGAAAATGATGTGTTTCTCAGGTGTCAGATGCAGTTGCGTCTGCTCTTTCAAGGTCCGTGGTTTCACTGCTAGGATTTTTTACTTTTTTCACTGAGGGTTTTTTTGGGGTCCTTTTTATGTAGCAATTACCTAGAAATGTGTTTATATCTCCTACTACCTTGTGATGATGGTTTTGATAATGTTTCCCTTGAACCCTGGTGATCTGGCTCCATATAGTATGTGGTTATACACAAATCCTCTGGCAAATTTAAAATCAATAAATTTTTCCAGTGAATGGAACTGTTTATCATTACATAGCAAACTTCCTAACTTGGAGTAGTGCTGCTTGCCTGAATTCTCCTTTGATATTTGTAGGACTCTGCTCTGTTAGCATTTTCCTGTGTTTTTCTATTATTTAGCTTTAATCCTTCTGTGTGCCTTAGGCATTTCTCTGGTAATGAGTACATGGCTAAATTGTGTTTTGTTTCTTAAAACATACCAATTATGATCTTCACTGGAGAATTTAATCCACTCACACTTATCGTAATTAATCATTTATTTATTTAAATACTGTGGGTTGAACTCAGAGCCTCACATGCTAAGCACATATATTACCACTCAGCTACACTCCTTGCCTGTTTCTAGCATCACATTTGAGATGTTTGCATTGTCCCACTTGCATATTTCCCACTCTTTTCTCAATGGGTCTGTTTTGTTTTCCTTTGCTCGCTGATTATTTTTCCTTCTCCTTCCTTCAACGATCTGCACTGGGTCTATTCTCCTAGTGTTCCCCTACCTAATAACTATTTAGCAACAGTTCCAGGTGAGCAGTAGGTATCTTCCTTTCCCTGACTTCCCCTCCTAACTCCTTGCTATTGTGTGCGACATTTTGAATCCAGCCTAGTCTTTCCCTGCCCTGAGTTATCTTTGTTTCATGCATAATCATTAGTCAGTTTAGACCATCGCACATGTACTTGGGCTCCCTCTCTCCTTACAGATCAAATCTAGAACCTGAGGTGATTTCTTCCAGTTTGAGTTCCATCTTTCAGAACCTGTCCTGCAGGGTGCTTTCATGGCTCACTCTCAAGCCTGGCATTTTTCCTTGGATAAGACTTCTGATTGAGTTATTTTCTCAGGACTTCCAAGGAATTACCTTACCTGTGGTCTCCACTGTGGATGTTAAGAACTTCATTGTTCATCTCACTGCCATTGCCCTGAAGGCGACAAGGTCCCCTCCAATTGTTGGCAGTAAGATACTCTTTTTATTTCTATTTTTTTACCTGTGTATATCAACGTGGCTTGGGATTGCTTGGGCTTCTTAATCTGAGGATCAGTGTCTTTCAATGATTTGGGAAAATCTCACTCATTATTTATTTCTGGAATGCCTGATTCAGTTAAGCAATTTTCATTGTATTTTTTCTTTCTTTTTCACATATGCTTGTTTTGAGCTCTTGTTCCCTGCTCAGATGTTCTGGGTCCTCTCTTATTTTGTCAAAGGCATAATATCTTATATCTTTGTCATTTCCGATCCCTCATCTTTGTGGCTCTCTTTTTGCTGTTGCCTCCCATGGCTCTCACTCCTTGATTTTACATAATTTCTAACCATGACCCATTTGTTCTCTTTGGACCTTGTTTGTAAGATGCACTTGAAGTCTGGGTGAGTTGAGTTCCTTGCATTTTCATGTGCTGGGTCTGCTGGTGTGCTGTGGGATCTGCCAAGATGGAATCACGTTAGCTTCGATTCTCTTCTGTGGATGTAGAGGCCCATGGGGACACCTGGTGCCTCCTACTCTCAGGGATGCTATCTCCCCAGCTATGGGTCCATACCTGCAGCTGCAGGAGCATCCCCAGTTCTCCCTTCTGTGTGATCTGAGTGCTTCTCGCCAGCCATGTGCCAGGATAGAAGCTTTGGGAACTTGCAGGACTGAATG